TTCTTGCTGTGCGGCAACAGTGCTAACCACCGTGCCATTATTATTATTATTATTATTATTTATATTTGAAGTTTAAGTTCTAATGTTTCTGTTTCAATGACGGACAAAGCTATACATTTACTGAAAATCTGTCATTTTCAGTAAATGTTTCCTTGTCACCACCAAAAATCAAGTTTTCCGTGTCTTGAAATTTTGGTAATTATAATTCAAAGATGATGGAAGTGAAAAGAAGCTGCCTGTACACTGCACACAATTTGTAGCTGATGCAGAGGTTTATAAAAACGGCTCAGTGTAGACCAGGGGTGTTGAACAAAAGGCACAGGATCAGAAATCTTTGAAAAATGTGAAGAAGAGCATACATTGTTGACTTTTAAGTCTACTTTCAAAAATGTTAAAGCTTGTCTGACTGATTAATGTCCTCCCCCTCAGTCTTTAGTACATCAAGATAATAGATAATTAAATGACAAAAAAACATAGCTTGTTTCTTTTTTTCCTCCCCACACAACGCACAATCGACAGACGGATTGGTGCAGCGGCTGCAGTGATGCGGACGCTGTACCGGTCTGTTGTGGTGAAGCTGAGTGTAAAAGCGAAGCTCAAAATTTACCAGTCGATCTACGCCCCTACCCTCACCTATGGTCACGAGCTGTGGGTAGTGACCAAAAGAACGAGATCGTGAATACAAGTGGCAGAAATGGGTTTTCTCCGAAGGGTGGCTGGCCTCTCCCTTAGAGATAGGGTTAGAGGTCCGGCTCAGAGTAGAGCCGCTGCTCCTCCACATCAAAAGGAGCCAGTTGTGGTGGTTCGGGCATCTGACAAGGATGCCCCCTAGGCGCCTTCTGGGCGAGGTTTTCCGGGCATGTCCCACCAGGAGGAGGCCCCGGGGCAGACCCAGGACACCTGGAGAGATTATATCTCTCGGCTGGCCTGGGAACGCCTTGGTGTTCCCCCGGATAAGCTGGAGGAGGTGGCTGGGGAGAGGGAGGGCTGCTGCCCTCCCGACCTGGCCCCGGATAAGTGGAAGAAAATGGCAGGATAACGCACAATAGAAATGTCTGTTTTTTTTATTATTTGTGAGTTTAGAAAAACTTTCTCCATTAAAAGTCTGGACAATGAGCTGCCAGGACTTTTTCTGTAATTTTACACATTTATGTTTTACAATTTAAGCCCCAAAGGTTCATGTTGACAAATTTCTTTAATTAAATAGAGTGGCATTTCTCTACCATGCAATACAACTGAGATGTGCTGTTGAAATTGCACTTCATTTTTTCATATACTGAAATATGGCAGGAATAAAATGTGCATCTAAACTTATTTCCACTGACAGAAAGGGCCTTTTTACTGACATGCGCTATATTTGACCTCAAATTAAATTAAATTAACTTTGAAGTTAGAATCAAAGCTATAGTACCAAAATTCAATTCAATTAAAAAATTATTTGTATAGCACATTTAAAAGCAACAGAGTTAACCAAAGTCCTTCACAATCAGTTAAGAACAAGAGAAAGCAATAGGGAAACAAATATAGATAAATTAGAAACAAATACAGATAAATGAGAAGACAACGAATTAACATTAAAAACATAAAACAGGCCTGATGGTACTCAAACCGAACTCGAATTAAAAGCCAAGTAAAAAAGTTTTAAGACGTGAATTAAAAGACTGAATAGATTCTGAAGTATGAATATCCTCTGGCAGATTATTCCATAGTCTGGGTGCTGCAACTGCGAAGGCCCGATCTCCTCTATCTTCAATCGAGACCTCGGCTGTGCTAAAAGCATCTAGTTAGATGACCTCAGCACTCTTTTGGGGTCATACATGTTGAGGGGTTTGTTTAAATAACTGAGCGCCATATTATTTAAAACTTTAAAAGTAAGTAAACGAGTCTTAGAATCAATACGATACTTGTAAATTTGCTAAAACTGGAGTGATGTGTTCATACATTCTAACACCTGTTAAAAGACTCACAGCAGCATTTTGGACGAACTGCAAGCGATGGAGAGATGAGTGTTGAAGACCCAAATAGAGAGAATTGCAGTAGTCCAGTCTAGAGGTGATGAAGGCATGAATAAGTGTTTCTAGGTCTCTTGGAGGAAGATAAGGCTTAGCTTTGGCAATTTCACATAACTGATAAAAACTTGTTTTCACTTGCTTCTCTAATTTAAAAGAGCTATCTAAAAACACTCCAAGATTCCTTACAGTGTGAGAAAGATGAGAAGCAAGAGGACCGAGGGTATCAGTTAACTTGTTCAAAGGGGCATGAGTTCCAAATACCATAACTTCAGTCGTATTTTTATTTAGTGTGAGAAAATTCTGTGTTAACCAGCCTTTAACATCATGCAGACAGTTAAGCAAAGGCTGTGGTGGGACAGAGACATCAAGTTTCAAAACTAAAAGCAAAAATAAGTTCACACCCTATGAAGGTATGCATGGACCTACAAATGGTGTGATTATGCCTGCGTATATAGTGTGAGCTCTCATCACACTATATACCTTCATGTTACATAGGTACTAAAAAGGGTACAAATGTGTGTGTGTGATGTTTAGGGATTTTAACTACAGGGATTGTTTGGCTACTGCTTCTTGAATATTAGTGAATATTAGTGCCAAGTAGAGCACACTTTGATCTTAAATGAGCTGAACCAGTGAAACTCCCCTTTCTGTCATTGTATAAAAAGTTCCACTACATACTTAATGTTTGAAATTTGAATGTTTCAACAATACATTGCAGTTTTTCTGATTAAGGCTTAAATTGTAAGAAATACGTGTGTAAAATGAGAGAAAATTTGCACAGGCTGTTCTAAAATGTTGAAACAAAAACATTTTTGTCAATGTCTTGAATGTCTTCTATTTATACTATTAACCCACTATAAAAATCATACATTTCTACAGTAGATAGTGAAAAACTGGAACCTTATTTTTTTTAAAATTGTTTGTGTATTATTTACTTTGTTGTAGTATAAATGGCCATGTGGGAAGGAGACGCTGTAGAAGTTGTTAAAATTCAGTTAAATATAAATAGTTTACGTCCTCCTTCACATTTTCCATCCAGTGGGCTGCTTTTGCAGATTGATTCTGGCCCACAGTCCTCATGTGTGATACCCCTGACATGCATAATTAGAAACCTGCATTTGCAAAAGTGCACTGAGCACATCAGTAAGGAAAGGACATACAAAAGGAAACTGTGAGGTTGCTGCTTTACAAAACTTTATAAAAACCTAATGTGCAGGCTATGCAGTACTCAGGCTACCATTAAGGCCTACTTTAATATAAGTCTACTAGGGCTGTAATGCATTAAAGTGTGACTTTAGGACTATACAAATTAGTCGAATAATCGAGTAGCAACAAAGAAACAAATCTCAACTAGCTGAATTGATAGTCAGGGTAGTTAACCAAGGCGGGAAAGCTCTATGTTCACTTTTGAGTGTCCCTCAGCCCTCCTGTTTTGTTAAGTTGTTCCCTTTTATATATTGTCTAATAAATGAATTAAATTTAAGCTGCTAATCAATCAATAACAAAACTATCATCGGCTCTAATGTTACCTGCAGTAGGAGGCTCATTATAATATCGTAGAGGGGAGTTCTCCTCACCGCCTCGCAGCCACCAGTCAGAGATCTCCGCCCCAGTCATCTTGGGCTACAGCTCGGAGCCCGGATGCGCCGCCATGCCGCCTCTGTCAGCGAATGGAATAATTTATTCACCAACCTGCCTCACACTGGCCCACTAGGAGTTGACTGAAGAAGTCGATAAGACAGTTTCGTGGCCACCGGAGCCTTTGCTGCCTACAGGCCAGTGCAGGATACCTGTGCCGTGCCTGCTCGCTTGTTTGCGTAGCTTAGCACTGTTGTGTCGCTGTAGGGACACTTGTGCTAGCTGCGCTAACGTTAGCTCAAGCGGAGAGAGTGCGGGGTAGTGACAGTCCGGCCGGAGGCGGGGAGAGTCGCGAGCTGCGAGGTGAGACTGTTATATTTTGATGGTGGTTGCTACCCTGTTGACTACGCGTGGCCATCTGTTAAATGGTATCACTTTCGTGAGTGTGACTCACGATTTTAGTGGGGTTCTGGCAGCAGCATATCGAGGTGGGTACTTTGGTGCTTGTCTGGTAGCGCTTTCTGGCCGGAGTAGATCGTAACGTTTACTCGACGTTTCAATCTTCTTGGCCCGCGATAGAGAAGCTAAGAGCTAGCTTGCTAACTGGGTAACAGTGCCAGACGGGGACTCCTAAACTTTTCAGGTCAGCAACCCCTGTGCAGACACGCTTCAGATACCACAATACAGATGTGATAAGGGTGTGGGCCAAGAGATTCTCTGTATCTAAAAAGATGAATTTTGTGTATCGTTATTAGGAAATCACAGTGGAATGTAAAGGGTTATTTTTTAACTCCCACCTCATATGTATAAATACAGATACAGGGGCCCTTGGATGTGCAAGTGCCTGGACATCCCAGGATGCCTTGAGCATATTTTTGTTGTAATATTAGCCAACTTATGTTACTTTACTTAACAGGTGTGTGTGTGTGTGTGTGTGTGTAATCACAACAATGAGGAGGCACCAGGTTTAAAGCAATTTTGTTCACCATGTCTAAAAGAATGTTAAGTTTATGACATGAGTTTTCCTTCCTGTAACTTCTTTGTTTCTTTCGTTTTTCAGGCTCAGAAAATTACTCCCCAAAACAAAACAAAAAAACAACAACAAAAAACTTTCTATGTCTTCATCAGCTCTGAAAATCAAAAGAGATGTCTGTTGATGAGGATACTGAAAAAATGGGCAGTCCACAGCCTAGCTCGACGTCATCTCTGCAGCTCACGGATGGTCCTGGAGGTTACGGTGGTGTGTCTGTGATGATGGAGGGAACTGCAGCTACCCCTGACTTTGCAGCTGCTTGCCCTCTTCTGGGCACTGCTGCCTCGCCAAAACACACCAGCACAACTGATGCGCTCACCCTCGCAGACAATGCTGGACAGAGAGCCAGAGGGAACGAGAATAGCATCAATCGCAGAAATAGCTTTCATCATTCCAAACAACAACAACAACAGCAGCAACAACAAACAAAGCTAACAAAGCGGCGCTACACTGCAAATTCTAGTTTCAAGCATCCTTCATCTGGCAAACGGAGACGAAGGGCCAACTCTGAGAGCGATTCTGTCCTGCCCACCAACTTCCTCTTGGGTGGGAACATTTTTGACCCACTGAATCTCAACAGCCTGCTGGATGAGGAGGTCAACAAGGCACTGAATGCAGAGACTCCCAAATCCTCTCCGCTGCCAGCAAAAAGTCGAGACCCTGTGGAGATACTCATCCCCAGGGACATCACAGATCCACTGAACCTGAACAGTGGGATAGCTGACAGCAGCTTTTTGGCTTCTCCCTTCAAGAGTGGAGGAAGGAAGAGACACCGCAACAGGCACCATGGGGGAGGAGGAGGTGGTGGAGGTGGGAGTGGAGGAGGTGGGAGTGGTGGCGGTATTGGGATTTCAGCCACACAAATGAACCTCTCAGAATCAGGAAAAAGTGAAGTTAAAACAGGTCCTTCTGTACCTCTTCAAGGTACCTTAGCCTCATGTTCTGCACTAGAATCCAACAATGAATCCGGTAGTGTTTCTAGTGTCATGGCAGAGTCCCACGAGCACACAGATTGCAGCTCAGCAAGCTGCAAGGAGGAAATGCCACCTGCATCCATGGAGGATTCCACTTCAGGGGCACCGTACCAGCACACAAGTAGACGCAAGCGAAGGCGCAACTCGGGCAAAATGGAGCCCCCTGTCACCCATTCTACTCCGATTGGCAAGTCGGGACCCGGAGACAGGCATTTTGGTGCAGGGGGAGCAAGAAATTCCTTTCACACGCCAAAATCTGGTTCCAAAATAGGCCCTGGAATACGCCAGCACCAGCAGCCCCACTCTCATACAAAGGAACAGCACAAGAAGTTCCAGTATGGGAATTACAACAAGTATTATGGATACCGCAACCCGGGCTGCAGTGAAGACCCTCGTTTACGTCTGCTTCGTCCCGAGTGGTTTAGAGGTAAAGAAGTACTGGATTTGGGGTGCAACTCAGGCCATGTAACGCTCTATATTGCCAAAATGCTAAGACCCGCCCGCATATTGGGCCTTGACATTGACAGTGGTCTGATACATGCAGCTCGTAAAAACATAAGACATTATCTGTCTGAGCTGCAGACCCAAGAGGCCAGGCGAGCAATGCAGGGCAAAAAGACTAGTAAACAGGAGGAGACAAATGGAAACGCGAGTCACACGGGCACAGAAAAAGAGCACAACAAAGCTGAGAGCAGGGACGAAAATGGGAAACCAGTGAAAGCAGAAAGTGGCCCTGCAGATGATGGAAATGACAATGAGTCGTGTCACACGGATGAGATGGAGACCCAGAGGCAGGGCAGCAAAACAGAGGAAATGGAGCAAGAAGACTGTGATTCACCCCCCGCTGATCACTCTGAGAGCTGCTCTTTTCCTGTATCCCTACGGATCTCCAGGGGTCCCATTGCTGCACCCCCGCTAACACAAACATCCACGGTGCAGCCTGGGGAGTTCCCTTCAAATGTGTCCTTCATCAAGGTAAGAGAGGATTTTTTTATTTATTTTTTTCCCTTTTGGGAATATGGCTCAGATTTCTGTGTTGCTGCATATTTTGAACCTAGATGGCAAATTTAAAAAAAAAAAAATTAGACACTGTGTGTGTCCTGCATTATAACATAATGCTAGGGTAACTGAATAAAATGTGTAAAAATGCACAAAAAGGTGTGTGCATTATGAGGACTGATTTGTTGTGCACACACTTCCTCTCACTGTGACCTTTTCTTTTTATTCCCCACTATAAAACAGTTATATAGTATTATATCTAAAAAAAAACAAACAAAACTGACCTTTGCATTTAATCATGTCAGTGGCTGCTTTTCCTTTTTTGTCACATTACTTGAGCTGTGGCTAAATATTAAAAGGTATTATTATAAATCCATACAGTAATTGGTTGTAAAATTTATTTGCATAGCACTTATCAAAACCAGCGTTGTAAAATGCTTCCCAAAAAACAGAGTAAATGAACTAACTAGGAGGGGGAAAAAAAAACAAAAAAAACAATGTACACTACGAGTTAAAAGTTTGGACACACCTTCTCATTTAATGGTTTTGCTTTATTTTCATGACTCTTTACTTTGTGGATTCTAACTGAAGCCATCAAAACTATAAATTAACTCGTATGGAATTATGTTGTAAACAAATAATGTGAAATAACTCAAAACATGTTTTATGTTTTAGATTCTTCAAAATAGCCACACTTTGCTTTGATTACTGATTTACACACTCTTGGAATTCCCTCGACGAGCTTCATGAAGCTAATGCACAACCCCAATGATGGTCCCAACCCCATTAAGAAGGAACGAAATTCCACAAGTAATCCTGACAAGGCACACCTGTGAAGTGAAAACCATTTCACGTGACTACATCATGAAGCTCACTGAGAGAAGGCCAAGGGTCTGCAGTGCTGTCAACAAAGCAAAGGGAGGCTACTTTGAGGAATTTGAGGAATTTATCTTTTTTTTTTTCTTTGCTACATAATTCCATATATTTTGCTTCATATATCCGATGACTTCAGTATGTCTCTACAGTGTTGAAAGTAGTAAAAATCAAGAAAAAACATTTTTTGTTATATGTTAATCTTGCATTATTACTTTGGTGTGTGTGTGTGTGTGTGTGTGTGTGTGTGTGTCAGTCAAACTATAGGCTCCCTGAGTTTTAGGTAACTGGTGATTTTTAACTAATAGGTAAAAACGGCAAAGAGCAATATAATATTGTGATATAATAAATATTATAGGTTCCATTAAAGTGTCTGAAATCAACTGTGTTTAAGCCATACTTGCTTTTGCACTCTGCAGTCCTTTTATATGTATTTGTTGAATGGAAAAGGGGAAAAATACATAGTTTCCAAATGAAATTGATAACTGCCTCTTCTGTGATAATGGAATTGGATATTGATAGCACACCAAAATAATGAAGTTGTAGATTAACAATTAAAAAAATATAAAAGACAGAAAAGGTGTTGTAATTGCAGGACAGTCTGAGCAGTGAGCTATCAGAACTTTTTTTTTTTTTCTGTAATTTTAGGTATATTTATTAATGCTAACATATTTCTTTAATTTACCACAGCAATGTTTCTTCTTATTGTGTAGAAAAACTGAGATGTGTTGTTAAAAGTGTTTCTTTTTCTTATATTAAGATATCGCTGGGATTTTAAATATCTTTACATTACCAGTAGGAGGGAGTGTTACTAGTCCAGCCCACTTAAGATCAAAGTGGGGTGCATGTGGCTTACAATGTAAAAAGATTTTATCAGTTTTATCAGGATGTCAGGTTATTAATGTGTTCTTCTACTTTTATCTTTTAATGCTGGTTGAAGATTAGCACTACTACTACTTTCTGTAATGCAATGTAGCTTGCCATTGCCAGTGTGTGAATGTGTGTGTGAATGGGTGAATGACTGAATGTAGTGTAAAGCGCTTTGGGGTCCTTAGGGACTGAGTAAAGCGC